CGTAACAATATATATATATATATATATATATATTACATACTTAATGACCAATTTTTCATTAGTACAACACATTATTACAGGAAATACAAAAGAACAGAGAATATCTTGTACAAAGCACTAGTATTTTGTATTTGATGTAATCAAGGCAGTGCACCTTGGTTTTATGCTACAATATATTTATCAATGTATGATTCTGAAATATTATTCTAAATGTCCTATATTATTCCATATAATTCACTGTTTTACTTTTTAATTTCCATATAAACCCATACATCCTTAACAGTATTCATACTGGAATTTTGTACAGGTCAAGTCATGGTTGCAAGTGTTCTGTCAGCTTCTTATTCTTTCTAACTATCGTTTCACTACAGTTGTTGCATATTTGGGGTCACTGTTTTGTTGGAAAATATATCCCTGCTGCTAAGAAAATTACTTGATGAGTTAAAAAGCTGTATTACCTGTTATCATTCACGGTGCCACCAATTTTGTGCAAATCTCCAGCATCATTAACTGAAATACTGCCCACACTTGTATCGGTCCCCCTAGTATGCTTCACTGGAGATGTTACTGTGACACTGTTTTCTTCTCTGCCGCCACCGAACAAACTATCATTAATTGTTGTCAATCAATTGTAATTCTGATTCACTTGTAAAGAATGCGATTATCTAAACTCTGATACTCATTTAAGCCTTTTTGATTTTATTATCTATCCTATGTTGAGGTTCTTAGCAGCTTTATGACCAGTGAGGCCACTGCGTGCTAGTGTGTGTGTTCTTTATTGTTCGGCAGATAACAATCATGCTTATACTTTCAACTACAGCATTTACAAGACCTTTGCTACGTTAAGAGCATACTTGAAGTTACTTAACATCACTTTTCAAGAGCTTAGATGTTCTTTCTCGACCACTTCTATTATCAGCAGTACTAGTTTTACATGTCCTCATCAGAGTTCCATACTGCCTCCTATTGACTGGTTAGATGACAGCCAATCACAGTATATAATATACTCTGGTGCAATGGGGAAGCAAACTAGTAATATTTGCATTTTACGATCATTTTATTTACTGTTTCTATAGTTATTTCAAATATTGATAGGATGGTCCAAAAGTGTGGTCATTGAAATCCTTTTCTAGATACCACAAATACTAATATGCAATTTAAAGATTTTGTAAATATCTGGAACTCTACAATTGAATCGACAATCAAGATGTATTTATCATCGAGTTTCCAGTCTTCCAATACCACTTTAATATGTGAATTCAATGTCTAGAACATGATCGTTCTTGTGCTATTGTGTAATTTTCAAAATAGATAAAAAATAACAACAAATAGGCGGTTTGATAATTTTTAGAACACAGGGTTGGATTTCAAAACCAACGATAAAGAAACACCTATAACAATAAATAAATAAAATATTTTCGGGGGACTCTGTACATGTCTATAACAAAAAACAGAGTTAACTTACCGCGATGTGTGTCCAAAATTGAACACTTATAATTTATGATAGAAACTCTGATATTTTGATACGTTACCTAACAAACTATGCCAAGGTTATCAATACATCATGAAGCGGAAACATTAAGTTATATTCAATTCAGAACTAATATTATGAAACACTGCTTCACACTTACGTTGGGTTTGACTTACACATTTATGGCATATGTAAATAACAAATTACAGCTGTCTTGGATATGACAAGACTTGAACTCATTGAATAGTTTGGCTCCGAACTACAATTATATATATTTTATATGCCGTAGAAAAATACACAACGATCAAACATATTCTGATCAGGCTTAAGATATACCTTGTATTACACGAGTCTGGAATAGGTACCAGATATTTTTACTTAAGATTGTACTACGTTTTAAAAACATTGTAAAAGTAAATTTGTTCTTATAAAAAGTTCATTTGATGTTGTTTTTTTTCATACACATCTTTAATAATAACTTGTGCAAACAAAGGCCATTAAAATTTACTGAGCTTAATCTAAAAGTTACTTAAAATATTTTTCTCTTTAGGTTCCTTGAAATCATTATTAAGCATTTTACAACGCGACCATACCAGCTGTTGATGTGCATACAAATATTGTCTCCCTGTGAGTCAGTGATAAATTCATGGACTTACAACGCTAAAACCCGGGGTTCGATTCACCACGGTGGACAGAGTGCAGGTGGCAGTATAGCTTTAAGATAGATACACATAATAATAATAATATTAAAATATAGAGCATCTCACTACATCTTGTGCGTCTGTGTTGCCACCTGTTAACCTGACAAAAAGGTATATTAATCAGATTTATTCGGGGTTACTTTTAATAACAGAATCGACAATTGGAAATAACCGAAAGAATACTAGATGTCTTATTCGGCGTCATTTGCAACTGATATTGTAGAACAATTTAGCAGCTTCATTATAAGATCAAACTTTTGGACATCGGATATTTATATATATAAATAATAATGATATTTTAATCGAAACTTAAGTTTAATATTTTACAAGCACAATACTTAATTTTCAGAATAACATGTTGATGATTACTTCTATAACTATAGGGGCGTAGCCAGGTGTGGTCGAACGATTACCCCCAATATTTTTTGAAGTTATTTACAATTCAGCAGCTTATTAGTTTAAGCTGAGCTGAGCTCCTCGTTGATTTTACTCTCGTATGTTTGAACAATTTGCTTTCGCAAGTTGCATTTAGGCTAAGGTAAATCACTTAAATTCTTTTTTGTAGAAGAAAAAGCCCACAACATCACCCACCCACAGACACACACACACACCAGCCTGTAGTAAAGGCTACGCCCTTATACTAATATAATCACACAGAATATACAACCCTATAAGCTAGACTTCATTTTTTTTATGTTTACTCGTTTAATAATTATTGCACATCTGTATGATACTGAAATGTTGAGTTTCTGTAAAACACATCAAATAGCATGATGCATTTAGGCTAAGGTAAATCACTTAACTTATTTTTGTAGAAGAAAAAGCCCACAATATCGCCCACTCACAGACACACACACACACACCAGCCTGTAGTACAGGCTACGCCCTTATACTAATATAATCATACTGAATATACAATCCTATAAACTGGAATTAATTTTTTTTGTTTACTCGTTTAATAATTATTGCACATCGGTATAATACTGAAATGTTGAGTTTCTGTAAAACACAACAAATAGTATGATCCCCGCGTTATGTTCTGGCGAAACTAACTTCCTGTATTCCTAGTTACCATTAACTTTGGCGTAAAGTCCAACTTCTTTATATTTTACGTATTCTATTGATTTCGTTTTCGTGTATAATTGTATCATATATATCTTTAGCTTTTAGATGTTTCGTCCTGTCAATTTGGATTACTCATTTATACTCCAAATATACAACAAGCTGCTGCAAATTGCAGTACGTACTATCGATCGTTAATTGTCTGTTGAAAAAGTGGTATACAATATCCACTGTTCGGGGCTAACGCGGCGCTGTGGTTAAACATTCCAGCAACGGGAGACATTACAAGAGGAGTGACCAGATACATATATACATAGTTTGCTGTTACGTCTCATGAGGTTTATTATTATTCTTTAAGACAGACTTACAGCTATCTTTTAGTCATCGGTAGCTATTCAAGGATACAGCAAAATACGTTTCGTTAAAGGTGGTCGGTATTTCTTCACTTCTCCATTCGTAAGTGTTGTTGTAGCTTGTGTCAACGCTGTTTCAAAGTTTGAAACGTGTTACGGTGTGTTATAGATCTTATTCTGTTACAACACCTCAACATAGAGCAGATATAAATACAATTCTTATCGCAACGTAAGCATTACCATACTTAAATAGCCTACAAATCTTCCACCGTTACAGTTCATCTTATATATCTAATTCTGTACTATACGTTTAGCAAAACTTAAAGGCGGGAAAAACCGCACCCGTTCCATTTTGTCTGTCGTCTTGCAGCGCTGAGAAGCACGTGAATTATCGACGTCATGTCGAAGTCTGCAACACCAATTAAAAAGGTTCCAATCCATCTACAGGTAAGTTAAAACTAACAGCGTGTATTCGAGATATTTGGTTTATCAACTCAATTTTGAATATAACGATGATCTATAATTGAAATATGTGATAACTAAAAGAAAACTATCATGATTAACTTGTTGTATGTGAAATAAAAGAATAATTAAATAAATTAAATAAACTCCATTGTATTATCATTGTTAATTTAAACAATTCCTTTATGGTTGAAATATGAAAGAAATTGATTTTCACTTTTTAAAATTTTACTACAACCTTGTCTAGGTCGTGTGGTTAAATATCAGTTGGCTGATACGTTTTTAAAATTTTCTTCTTACACACTTCGAAACACACACAAAAAGAAGAAAAAGAAGTGGCACTTACTGTGTTTGTCCAGTTTCAAAAATGTTTTGACAGTTTTCAATCCACTTAAAAACTTCAACCCAACACCAGTTGGTAACACTGTTGCTCAATTATATTAAAGCAATAAATAAACTTGCTGCGGTAACAGTGAATCCGTAAAGATAAAATCTTAGGGAAACTTGTTTTTCCAAGGTGAATAGCATGTGCACAATCCACTGAAACAGCCATGCATTCTCACGATTGACTATGTAAAATGTAGACATAATTAATGACATATCGATATTTGTAACTTGCCTATAAAGATAATTTTCTAGAGTGTAATGAATATTTGTCTCCCTTTTTATTTATTTTTACAATATGTTGAATAATAAAATTGGGCAGAGTTCAAATACGTTTATTAAACGGTAGGCCATATTAATAACCCCGAGTAACCAACCATGCCTTGTTGCTTGTCTTCTAGTTTGCAGTAAATTTGCATTGCTCTTGACCTTTGTGATCTGGTTATTTTATTATAATTCCCCCAAAAGTGATAATTTGACTAGATACTTTATTACAATTGCTATACAGACATTTGTCGAACGCTTCAAAATAGAATGATCAGGCGATTGCTTGAGCCAATAGATGCAGAAAGTTAAACACAATAGCCATCATAGTATGCTATTATTGATTGTCTCCTTTGGCAATTGTCAGGATACAACTATCTCGGTCTTAAAACCGCTCATCTTAAGTTCATAGAAGAAAGCACAACCTCAAAGGTGCTTAGACTGCAAACTGTTTATAGTCAACCATTGGAAATAAATGGATTGATCAGAAGAGTTGCATTTAATGCTTTTCTGTACTGGTGGTCAAGTAGAATAATGGACAAATTAAGGCTTTTCTGTACTGGTGGTCAAGTAGAATTATGGACAAATTAAGAACTTTGCCTTGTTCCTTAGGAGATTGTGTAATGGTGTGAAAAAATTTCTCGTGCCAGAGACAGACTGGATCCTTTATTATTATTTTTTTTTTTAGAAAGATAAATGAATACCAGAGTGTACTTGAATGTTGTCGCAAATAATGTCTACTTCACGATGTTGCATTTCCACCCTGAGAAATAAGGACTTATCTAAAACGATATCACAATAATTCCTCACTGGATGTGGGTTATAATTGTTATCATGGTAGACTGCTTCAGTCATCTTTCATGGCCTGAAGGTTTGCAGAATCTCCAACCGGTTGCCAACTTTTGAATAACTTTTTTCGTCACTTTTGCCACCTGAATTCTCTGCAAAATGAAAAATAGATACTATTTTGGCCCGAAAATAATACTCTTTTTATTGGATATGTGCATATTAATTTAGGGTGTAAGAACATCTAATCTTTCTCAGACATATAACAAAAGTGTTGATTTTAAAAGCGTTTTTCAAAATGAAAAACATAGCAACTAATATATTGTTGCGTCAGCGAGGTCACGTGACTAGTGTCACGCCACCTCTCGAACCTTCGGGAATAGTCGGGAGATTGCTGGATGTGGGATAGTCTGGTAGTATATATAGGAGGGTGACAACGTGACGGAATAATGTGTGTGTATACAGTAAGT